TGAATGCATAGAAAATAAAAAATATATAATTATAAATATTGGAGGCGTGTGGCGCAGTGGATAGAGCCTTGGTATGGGGATCAGATGGTCACAGGTTGAAACCCCACTGCAGTCAGCATGTAGTTGTGTCCCTGGGCAAGACACTTCACCCCAAATGGCTCCTGTGGGGATTGCTCACAGTATTGAGTATGTAGGTCGCGTTGGATAAACGCGTCTAACAAGAAACAGGCAATGAAGAGAGGGAGAGAAAAAAGGAAAGATGAAGAGAAGACAGAAAATAATGATAGGGGAGGTTGAGAGAAAAGTAGAAATTGGGCCGTACAAAAGCAATTCTGTCAACAGCCGAGAGTGGGATGAAATGGAGGCAGAGGAAAAATAGAGAAGGAGGAACTTAATGTTTAGTTTGGGTCCACCAATAAACTAAATAGACTTAGTTTGGGTCTACCAATAAACCAAACTGACTTATTTTGCTGCAGGTCTAGAGGTGGGATAAGTAATGTATCCGGCTAAGGGAAAGAAGATCAGGTAAATCCTTCCCAAACCTCTGTTTGCTCGGCATATCAACTGCTTTAGAAGGATACTGAGGCTTATATCAATAAAAACTGAAGGCACCTCCTCTGGGGATTTTCTAGGATTGCAGATGAAAAACAAGCAGACTGCAGTCCACCCTTTTTCTCCTTCCTTCTCATCACAAGAACTCATTTATCAAGCATTTTCCAAAACTGGTTTCTTTGTCAACCAATTCATTATCGTATAGTGCTTAATGAAATTCAATATTCAATCGCACAATGCAGTCTCTTAAATCATACATTGAATTCCTTAAATGGCCACCATAGTGTACTGTAGCCTCTTTTAGACGTTATCTAAATCTATGAATAAGTCCTGCTTGGGTAAACAGTGTCTTACTGTGGAGACTTTGGGAAGACAATGGCACATCCTCGCCCCATTTTTCCCTTTGTGTGAGCTCCCCTCTTTTTTCCTCTGTCCTTGTCTTTGTCACTAATGTATGATTGGCATGCAAACTTTATCCCTCTCTTCCACAATCAGACAGTAAATTGTGGGTTATGATGTGACTGGGTGAAATCCCTTTGACTGAACAAGCATGTGTATTGGGTCATTAAAGCCGGGGGTGCGACAGTGATGAATGTCCCTAGTGCAATGTAGAGGTGAAGTGTGCTAACACACAGAGGGAAGGACTGCACCTATTATTTGGGCTGTCACCTACGTCAGCCTCGCACAGCAATAATATTGATGGTGTCTTCCTGAACACGAGTGTCATTACGTGTTTTCTTTTATCTACCATTACGTCTATATTTTAATTTCTTGTATGTATTTAATTTATTTCTCAAGTAACTCTCTGTTTTACATTGATTGTTGTGACCTTGAATATTTGAACGTTTTTTGCGGGGTCTTACTAAAATTGGATCTTAATACGCTTATGTGCTAATCTTTTTACATTTTCCAAATATTCTTTCATACCTGCAGTAAGCCTTATCCTTAATGCAGTTTATTTATGAAAACATTTTTAATTGCCATATTTTCAGTAAAGTATGAAAATCATTTTGAAAAGATGAGATACCATTTTTTTGGAATTTGTGTGTTTGAATATTTGTGCTGGGCATTCGCAACTTTCTGTCGTTATATAGTCTCTTATATGCAAGAACATACAGATAATCAACATTAATACATATTTTAAAATCCTTATCAATGAGTCAATACTTAATTTGTAGACAAATAGTAGTAGACAAGGGTTTTACAGTCTCTAAAAAAGTGTTTTTGAAGCTAGACTTTGTATAAGAGAGCCCCCCAAGGTCTACCACCCTTTTTAGAGAGTAGAAATAAAAAAGTTGAAAATGGCGAGATTCAACAAAGGGAAAAAAGAAAACACCGGGGGAGCAAGGTCATGGTCAGCGCTGACTGAAAAGATAATAGAGATTCAGAGACAGAGAAGCAATGAGGAGAGGAGAGATTGAGCAAAAAGGGAGGATGTGATGAATAATAAGAAAAGTTTGTAGAGCGAAAGATTACAAAGGACAAAGATAAATATGAAGGAAAAGTAGAAAAAAATAGATCTGTCGAGACTTTGTCACAACCACACTGTCCATAAAAGACAAGCTTTGAGTTGAAGGAGAGGCACATTGTGACACTGGAGTTCAGTAAATCAACATTTCCATTTTCTTTGTGCAGCAACCATTTAAAGTTGGCAACATGTCGAGTCTAGACTCATTCAATCAATGACAGCACAAGAAAGGGAATTTAGTGGAATAGTGACTTGTTGTACTTCAACTCTGGAGATCAAATGTTGCATCCTGTTTTTTTCATCTTCAATGATGTACTTGAGGTGATCTTTCTGTTACCTTAATGAGGTATTTTGAATGTCGTTTACTCAACAGGCAGATCAGAAACATTTCAATTAGCCATTTAAAGCACCCGTGGTTACCTATTTCCTCATAGAATAGAAACATTTTCCATAGACATCTATGTGCATGTATGCATATATGGGAAGCAAAGATGCAACTACATGATACTGCATGAATGGGAATAAGAAGTTGAAGATAAAGAGGGAACCAATCATGTTTGGTCTAAGGTTAGAGGGTGTCGTTTTTCTCATACTGATATTCTGAACAATCTGTGCTGTTGTATTTGCTGTAAAGTGTCTCTACTGTAGGCTATTTTTATTGTATGTACAGCACTTTGGCTCGACCAAAAATCGTTTATAAATGTGCTATATAAATACAACTTGATTTTATTTGATGTTTCAATCAAAAAAAGGAAAACAAATGTAGGCCTATGTATGTACAATATCTACATTATAATATTTAGAGTAGTGTATTAATATCATTGTTAACTAGATTATTGCTTGGAATATACAGTGTAATGCAGTTATAATGACAACAATAATGTACTGAGCATTGTCATCTGATTACAGTCACCAAGTGTTAGCTTAGCAGCAGGGTAAATAAGATGTTTGCAGTATCTTAAGAAAATTGAGATTCAAAATATTCATACAGAAAATATAACCAAAAGATGGTGTAATCTATGTCTACACAATTCTGGATTTCTGCATTACTGTCTATAACTTTAAAGAGCTTGGTTAAGCCCTTGTCGCACTGTCCCGAAATTGACACCCGATGGACACACGATAAAGGAAATGTTCAAATTCGGCTGTGATCGTAGCAACATCGGGCCATTCGTGAGGGCATCTAAGCCATCGTATGACCGCCGGTGGAGTTTCTCAGGCTCCGGCAGCAACTTCGTGAGCGGCAACTTCGTAAGGCACTCGTGAGGGCATCTTGTCAAATCGTGTCATCTTCGTGTTATCATCGGTGCATTCACCCTCAATCTGATCGGGGCGAATGCCCGATGGCACCGATGATAACAAGATGCCCTCACGATGGCCTTACGAAGGGCACAATTGACACACGAATTCAACACGAAAATGAACCTTCGCAAGGTCCTTCGGCAATTTTTTGGCATGCCAAAGATTTTGCCACCGCTCACGAAGTTGCTGCCGGAGCCTGAGAAACTCCACCAGCGATCATACGATGGCTTAAGATGCCCTCACGAATGGCCCGATGTTGCTACGATCACAGCCGAATTTGAACATTTCCTTTATCGTGTGTCCATCGGGTTGTTTTATTGCACAACAAAATCATGTAAATATATTATGTAAATAACCCAATTTGTGTTCTGTGAAACTAAAAAGGATATAATATATTATTTTGAAGGAGAGTTGACCGGAAGTTGTTGTTGCTATGGAAACAACATTACGGAGAAAACGTAATATTTTCTACATATAAAGACGGATAAAGTAAAGAACAAAGTCTGAAGATATCAGTACAGTATCATAGTACTGTAACATAATTATTTTTGGTACTTTCATTGCAGTTGTATGTCTTAAATGTAATGTAAATGTTGCCTTCGTGTGTGGTTCGGGGCCATCTTCGTGCGAAATTCACAATTCCATAATATTCGTGTGTCCATCGGGTGTCAATTTCGGGACAGTGTGACAGGGGCTTTAACGTCAACTTTTAGTACCAATTGGCTTTCCCTCAGGAGTGTGTTTGTGTCTCCTGCTTGAAGTCCCTCTCAATGCTCAATGTTGTGTGTGTGTGTGTGTGTGTGTGTGTGTGTGTGTGTGTGTGTGTGTGTGTGTGTGTGTGTGTGTGTGTGTGTGTGTGTGTGTGTGTGCATAGTCAGTCTTGCCGCGCCATGTTATTTTCCATTTTAATTCGTTTTTGCCTGTGGATGTTCAGTGCTTCTTCCACGGCTTTCAGCAGCTACCAGTGAATGAATCAGTAATTATTTTGTTGGTTTTTGATGTTTTTTCCTGCTGTCGGTTCACTGGCAATGAGGATATAATTGAATTTTTTAGTATGCAATGACAATTACCAAGCTGAATTCTCCTGAAGTGCTCATTGATTTAATTATGCTTTCAAAAAATGATATATATATATTTCATTTTTACAGCGATGGCATCGACCAATGCTTCTTATTACATTTAAAAACATAATAGTACTGTTATTGCATTCAGCAAGGAATGTGTCTGTTTAAAATGTAAATGAACACCGACAAAAACTTGTTTGAAAGGATTTATTATGTTGTTTACTTATTAAAACAGCAAGACAGCTTGTCTGACTTGTGTTTAAAAAATGTTGCGCTATTTAAACAGAAACATTTTACAGAAGTAGTACTTAGTAAATTGTTAAAACAATGGGTAATTAAGGCGTCTGTTATGTTGTCTGAAAGCTAGTTAGCAAATTAACAACATCTCTTTGTTGTTTTGTCTGCTGTGAGCAATATTTATTGGAACCACTTTAGAACAGAGACAAACTATTTCAATGTTATTTCAAATCATCTCTATCGTGTTTGGTGGTAGCAGAAATATAACCTGTCCCTTTAATTGTAGTGGTACATCTGACTTGAGAGAATTTACCAGGAACTTTAAAGTTGAAAGAAGATGTTAATTTATTTTCCTTTTCTTTCTCCCTATCTTACAGGGGTCCGATGGGTCCGATGGGAAGCCCCAAGCTCGGCATGCAACAAGGAGGTCATGGAGGGGGAATGGGAGGAATGGGAGGGATGGGAGTTGGAATGGGCGGAGGAGGAGGAATAGGAGCCAGACCTGGAGAGCCCTACCGCCTGGCCACTCATGACACCCCCACCACCCCGCGGCATATGCAGTCGAGCCAGGGGCCCGGCATGGGGCACGTCCCGGTGTCTGGCCACGGCATGGGTCACGGCCCAGCCGGGACCGGCATGGGAGGCCATGGCGGTCAGCCAAGCCCCGGGCAGCACGCCTCCCGTCGTAACCTCCAGGTCGACTTCAGCGGCTCGGGCGGCTCCAGGACAGGTCGGTCCTCCTCCGCGTCGCCTGACCGCGGCGTGACGCCCACCTCGCCCTACTCCGTGCCACAGATCGCACCCATGCCGAGCAGCAAGCTGTGCCCGGTGTGCAAGTCCACTGGGCTGTCCAACCCACCGGCTTTACCCAACTACAACACCTGCACCCAGTGTAAGGCCTGCGTCTGCAACCAGTGTGGATTCAACCCCAACCCACACCTCACTGAGGTAGGTCAAGTTTTAGAAACATTATTCCAACGGTTTAACAATTATCTTGTTTCTCACTTTTGTCCTTATATAACCCCAGAACATTTTTGCTTTCTTGTGGCAATGGGATCATCAAATAATGTTCATTTACAGTGAGGTAGCATTTGTGGAATATCATTTCATCCTGTTCTGGCGTCACAATTAAATGATAATGTTCCAAATGACAAAACAATAAGAGACAGGGAAGCTTATTTCCATTTGCATCCTTTTAAGTCTGGAAACAGATCCACAAGGGACAGACAGGATAAAGATTTTGTCTGGCCTTGTAGCTCAAGCGAGGGAGGAGAGAGAAAGAGATGCTCTTGCTCTGCATGTAGCCTCTTTTGTCTTTTTAGCCAATAATGCGCTTTTGACTTGAATGACATTGAATTGAAGCGAAACTGAGTGAACGAGCCAATGCATAGAAAGTGATGGAAGAAGTGAGAGGGATGGTTTGAGGCGAGGGAGATGAATTAGGTCAGTAAGAAAAAGGGAGAGACAGTGATAGCATAAAAGCGGGGTGAAATTCAGTGCAAACAAATACGCTGTTTAATAAAAAATCTTCCTGTTTCTCTGTGAAAACTTCCAAAAATTATAGATTTAGCTTTGTCTACATTAATGTATGTAATTCAAAGAGTAAATATTTGAAGTAGAAAATGTATGAATGAGCAAAATAATGAGAGCAAGCAAGTATCGAAGCTGAGTGTGTGTTGTGTACGTTAACTTTGTTCTGAGGCTTTTTGTGTGTATTTGTTATAGACAGTGTGTGTAAGGGCTCAGCAAGTGGCAGTAATCCTTCCCCGAAGCGCTGACAGAATTTCCATTAATGTGCACACACAGGTCGTGACAGAGTGTGTGTGTGTGTGTGTGTGTGTGTGTGTGTGTGTGTGTGTGTGTGTGTGTGTGTGTGTGTGTGTGTGTGTGTGTGTGTGTGTTTGAGTTCATTGTACTCTTCACAGGTGTGATGTGAAGACAGGAACCCAAACACTGGGATATATTTGGCATACTGAAAGAGATGCAGGAAAAAGTAAAGAATAAAGGACTAATTAATGCGACTAAAGTTATTCAAAGATGGATGGAGGGATGGAGAGGAGGTTGGCGGTTGCCTTTGGTGACGCAGTGTTTCCCACAGAATTTGATTCTATTTGTGAGGGCACCGCACCGCACCGAACCCCCCCGGCAAGAAAAGCCAAAGGCCCCTTAACCTATTTGGGTGGTCCACGCATCCACCCCCCCCCCTCAAATAAGATAATACATGCGAGTTCATGGCTACTGTAGACAATGTTATTGTTGCTCTGTATTGTAAATGAGTGAAACACACTGTTGAGGATCTGTGGGGTTTATTCTCCCAAAAATATAATTTACAATTTAGGCATTTAGCAGACGCCTTATTCCAAAGCGACTTACAATGACCAATTACAGGGACATTCTCCCTGGAGTAACTGAGGGCTAAGTGCCTTACTCACCTCACTATCCATTAGACCACCCAAAAAATAAATAATTATATATAAAAAAATAATAATAATAAAAACAAAAAAAATGTTTATGAGATCCATTTGTGGCGGACGATATTTAATTGTGGCGGCCCGCCACAAATAAATCAATGTATGGGAAACACTGTGACGGGTTCAAACCACCAGCGTCTGGTGACAAATATAAAATATAAAATATCGGCCTCCTCGGGCAGAAAGTAAAAACTTCAGACAGAAATCACAACGGGAAGCCTGAGGCCACGTCTGATATATTAGCCACGTTGGCCCTAATTGATTCCTGATGTCAGGTCCTGGGGCATATCATTGGCTGACAGCATGATAAACACTCTGCTGGATTAAACAAACAACTGCGGTTGTGTTGTTGGCTCTTATTTTCTATTTACTTTTTTGATGGAGAACATTGGCACCAGAATCACCCTGATGCTCCATGCTAACACATTAGCATCCACTGCAGATAATTAATCACTAAAAGAGTTAACAACAAGGTATAGGTTATTATAAGAGATTTTTGTTTTTCATTTTAATTAGCATTATCTTGCAGATTTATCACAACACAGTGTCTCTATAATATGGGCTCAGAACAGTCTCATAATACACACATGCACACAGAAGGATTGAAACTTGTATTTCCGGATCCATACTTGTGTTTTTCAATGCACACACAAATGTATTCCGTTTCATATACATGTAAATAAAATCCAAATACAGAAAAAAAGTTTTATATATGTATTTTTGATCCTCATTTATTAGTTTCCCGTTTAAATCCCCTGAACCTGCAAACACAAACAGCTTTCTGTGCACGGATCGCTTTGCATTCGTGTGTGGCTTTTTTGAGACTCCCCTGACGGTCAGCCGATTCGTACTTGTAAGTTTTTCTATCTATAGCCAATCAGATGTCTCCTTCATTCTAAGCCAATCACATGAGCGCACCCCCACGAGGGTAAGATTACTTCATATACGCATTTTGCGCAGTCCGGTCAGCTCGCTAAACAGAGGGCGGAGCATCAGGTGATCATGCAGAGCAGCGTGTCTCCATCAGACTCACTCAGCAGCTGATCTGATCTCTCTCTCGCGTCCGGTTATACTTCACTCGCGTTTATGTCCATATCGATCAGATCCAGCTCTCCTGATCGGCCTTTATAGAGAGCACCGATCAAACTATTAAGAGTGAATATCGGCCGATAATGACCGGCGGGGCTCCCCCCCGTTAACAGGTCACTGTCTAGCACTGGCTTCGTAGTGCACTGATCGATTAGGCTAAGCTAACCTGTAGCTGCTCCCTCCACACTCACAACAACTTCATACATACATAAATAAAGCAGCTGTATTCGCCATACAGGAAACACATTTAAAACGGGTTTGCCTGCCGTTTTTGTGTACACAAGCATTCATCAATGGTTCGGAAAGTGGCGCTGTACCTTAATAATATAAAGGCTTGTATTTGCGTGCATTTCCTGTTCGGAAAGTGGCGCTGTACTGAGAGTGGAGGGTGTCCTGAGATTAGCGCCTGCAGGCAGGCTCCATGGAGCTGTCAGCTCCGGACTGCGCAAAATGCGTACATGCAGCGCTACGTCATGAACGCAAGAAATCTACCCTCGTGGGGGCGCGCTCATGTGATTGGCTTAGAATTGAGGAGACATCTGATTGGCTATAGATAGAAATAATTACAAGTACGAATCGGCTGACCGTCAGGGGAGTCTCAAAAAACCCACACACGAATGCACAGCGATCCGTGCACAGAAAGCTGTTTGTGTTTGCAGGTGCAGAGGTTTTAAACGGAAAACAAATATGTAAGGATCAAAAATACACATGTAAAACTTTTTTCTGTATTCGGATTTTATTTACATGTATATGAAACGGAATACATTTGTGTGTGCATTGAAAAACACAAGTGTGGATCCGGAAATACAAGTGTGAATCCTTTTGCAGATCATGAAATACAAGTGTGAATCCTTCTGTGCGCATGTGATTTATGAGACTGTTCTGAGCCCATACTATAACACTGATTTGAGCTTTGAATTTAATACTCTATAAAATAAATCAGCACTGTAAATAAATACGCTAGTTGAAGGTTACCTGTGTAGCAAATAAGCAGAGGCCATCCCATTGTGAGACATCTCACTCATGCTTTTCTGAGAACCATGGTTACGCAACATAAAGTTATACAGCAGTCTAATCTCAACAGAACGTGCAGATATTTTACCTTGACATAGAGCAGACGCACAGTGCAGACGCTTTTCTGCTTGCTCTTGCCTCAGCTTAATTTTTTATGCTGATTTTCCTATTTTTCTTTTCTGAAAACTTCGAGCAGCGGCTTCTGGACACTAACTTATCACTGGGACTGTTATTCTTCGCAAATAGATGGAGGATTTCAGCCATATTTCAATATTTTTACGACGACCTGCGTGGCCTAGCAACAGCTAAAGCCTGGTACTGCATGCTATTTAGCTTAAGCTAGTTAGCAGCAAAATGCCTCCGTTCTCCACAGATGACTTCCAGAAACTTCTACAGAAGATGGCCGTGTTGGAAATGAAAATGCAACGGTTGGAAGTTAATGTGGAAGTGAATGGACTATGTTGGAATGACACCACTTACCAGTGTTGCAAAAATAATGGACAAAGGCATGCTAACTCACAGCTAGTTAGCAGCTACAAGGATTCCAAGGAACAGGAGGGCTGTGTACCGGGTAATACATCTACAAGTGGTAGTCCTCCCTGGAACTCTCTAGGTGCAAAGCCTAAGAGTAAATAATTTCCATGGGATTTGGGAGGACGAATAACAGGCAGAGCCCAGCGCTCTGAAATCTGTGATGCGACCGGCTGGCCTGCATTGTTATCACCCAGGATGAGCGCCTCTTCAACCCCTATTCATACTAGGAAACAGCCGTGGACAGCTGCTAAAGGGAGAACTACAAACAATCCTCCTAAACCACAGAGTGTGCCAATCCAGAACAGATACGCTCCGCTGACCCAGAACCTGATGACCTGGATAACCTGTCCTCTTCATACAGCAGGGTAAGGACCAATAGCTACTCTAAAAGTAAAAGGCTAGAGGGAAAGCTAACGACAGGGCCTGAAACTCTGATTGTGGGTGACTCTGCTGTAAGAGATGTAAAAAGTCTGTGTAGTAAGAACAACACAAAAGTACTCTGTTTTCCCAAGGATATGGTCTCTGACTTGGCTGAGAAGATCCTGCATATTGGGGCTGAACATCCGACTGTGAAGAATGTGGTACTGCATATTGGAACAAATGATGTGAAACAACAGTCAGAAGTGCTGAAAGAAGACTTTAAATGTTTGTTGGAAACTGTCAGCTATCTAAATTGAAGATTGAAGAAGAAGATTCAACTTATTGTCATTACGTGGTACAGGTACTATGTAACAAAACGGTTTCTCTGCATTTGAACCATCCTAGTGTTAGGAGCAGTGGGCTGCCATTATGTACGGTGCCTGGGGAGCAGTGTAGTGTAGGTGCCTTGCTCAGGGACAC